GTTTTTTTTTTTTTTTTTTTTTTTGTACCTGGGATCAAATTCAGGACCTTGTGCTTGCGAGGCAGGCAGCAGAAGCTCTGAACTAAATCCCTGACCTTTCTGGCTTTTTTTTTCTTTTGTAATGCTGGAGATTAAACGCAGGGCTTCATACATGCCAGGCAAACTCTTTACCATGAGCCACATCCTCAGCCCCCACAAGAATGCAAAATCTCCATCACAAAGCAACCCTCAGCTCATGAGTTATCCTTAGAGATCCATGAGGGAAATAGGACTTCCTGTTTACTTCAGGGCTTGTGTTGAGTAGACAGCAGGTCTCATTATGCACTTTAAGTTATTCTCTTTCCCTCCTATCTCCTCTCTTTCTATTTATTTCCCCCTATTCCCCTCCTGTCTCTCTATATCTGATTTCTATTTGAATAAATATGTTAAATGTGTTAATAGTGAGGGTTAATTTAGTCAATATATGTATGCTCTAGCATATAGGAAGTACCGTATAAGTGTACATTGTTAAGCCAGGTATGGTGGTGCACACCTGTATTCCCAGCACTCTGGAGGCCGAGGCAGGAGGATTACCAAAAGTTTGAGGCCAGCCTGAGCTACTGAGCTAGACCTTGTCTCAAGAAGCAAAAAAAAATTTCTAAAAAAAAAAAAAAAAAAAAAAAAAAAAAAAAGTTTTCTTGATGTAAGCTCTGTGTCCCAGGACACATGGCTTAAATCCTCTGTGCCTCAGTGTTGTCACTGGGTATGACAAAAGTAACATTCTTGTTCTGTGATTGTGAGGATTAAATGAGGTATAGTTAAAGCACTTAAGAAAACATAAGTGCTTATAGGAGGCTACTTTTATGTGATATTACTATATTTAGGTGCCTCAGAGAACTCCATTTTGATGATTTATAACATTGCCTAATGGAAACAATTTGTGTTTGTGTGTAATAGTTTGATTTCTCAACTCCTGTCTCATTCTTCCCATCAGATAGCAATTGCCCATAAGGCAAAAATGCTGAATAATTTTCCTATAAAACTGAATGATTTTATTACTAATAGGGCCAAAAGGGCAGACTGATGGGAGGAGTGGTGCTTCTTCCTAGCTGTGTGACTTTGGACAGATCACTTAACTTTTCTGAACTTTAGTATCTCTCATTGTAAATCATGAATAAAATGTCTATTATTTCAAGAGTGGCTATGTGGATCAAAAAGATACATGTAAAAATGTTTTATAAACTGTTAATGCAAAAATAGAAGAGATTGCTGTTACTAATTTATTTAAACAAGGGCTAACACTATTGTTGCTGTCAAGAGTGTCAGAAGAAATAAGGACAAATAAACCGTGACTTTCCACAGCAACACTTGAGGAACTCCAGATCTAGCAAGAGCTCCAAATCTCCAGTTTCTATGAGGACTCAGTCTTTTGAATTCACACTAGAGCACTCTGTTTTTTAGCATGATGTAAGCGAAAACAAACCATGATGTAAGCTGTTTGCTAGATCATCACCTTAATGTTTTGGAGATAAGCATTTGTGAAAATATACATGAGTGTGAAGATATATATTTGTGATTAATGTATGTTTTTTCTCTAAAGCCACTGGCATAAAATTGAGCATAATTTGAGTTTTTTTCATAAACTTTAAATTCCTTGGTTTTATTCAGGCTTATACTGTTACCACCCTATTTCCTCAAAGATGTATTGTCAAAAGATGTAAATCTATTCAAAAGGAAAAATATGATTTCATTGCAGGTACTCAGTGTTTCATATAACTCAATGTCCATAGTGGGAAAGATGGGAGTGATTAAAAAAACTTGCCCCTGAAATTAAGCATTATTTTATTAAAGTAGATGAATGTGTTGCAGCTGGGCATGGTGGTGCATGCCTGTAATCCCAGCACTCAGGAGGGTGAGGCAGGAGGACTGTGGTGAGTTCAAGGCCAGCCTGGGCTGCATAGTGATACCTTGTCTCCAAAACAATTTTTTTTAATTAAAAAAAAAATAGACGTGTGTGTGTGTGTGTGTGTGTGTGTGTGTGTGTGTTTGCTGGGAACTGAATCCAGAGCCTTTTGCCCACTAGGCAAACACTCTATCTTTGAGCTGTATCCCTAGCCAGTCCTGAATTCTTATTGTGATGAAAACACCTGCATTAGTCAGAATAGACTAAGTTATGCCACATTAACAAATTATCCCAAAATCTAGGGCAGTGGTGGTGAGCCGATGGCACATGTGTTGTGTTTTTCTTTTAAAACAAAAGATGTTAATGTATAAGTTGTTTTTTCTAGACTAAAAATCTCAATATTTGGGCTTAATTGCAGTGTTACCATTTTGCAATAAATAAGTGGATTTTGGGTTGTAATTTGGACACTTGGTCTCTAAAAGGTTCACCATCACTGGTCTAGGGCTTAACATATGGGCTGTTTCTCTTTTACTCATGAGCAAGAAGCTCTGCTCCTCATGGTTATTCAGAACCACAGGCTGACAGATTCTCTGACATCTTTCCACAGTTGCTATTTCGGGGGAAGAAAGACTCTAAAGAGCATACACATGTTCTGCTTGTTTGCCTAGAAGTAACATTAATAATTTTATCCACAGCCCCTTGTATAGAACTAATCACATGGACAACCAAATGGCAAGGAGGCAGGCAAGTGTGAAGAGAACAAACATATCAATTTAGTGATAAATATCTCTACTACAATTCCCCAAAGAGTAAGGAATTCTCAACGACCCAACTGCCCACCTTCTTGCCTCATGACCATGTAGTGGAGAGGGAAGAGCATGGACTGTGAGTTCAGACTGCTCCGGGTTTGACCCCCAGCCTGTGTTGTACTACTTGTTTGACTTTGAGCAAGACATTCTTGGGTCTCTAATCCTTACTTTCTTCACCTGTAGAATGGAGATAGCAACACCCACCTTTTAGGATTGCTACAAGGATAAGAAAGAATTTATGCAAATGCTTTGACACAGTAATACTTGGCGATAATTATCACAAGGAAGTCAGCGCTGCCAGACATGGCGAGCTATCTCAATGAGTGTTGTAACAATTCCTGTAGGCTCTCCAGTGAAAATTATTGTAAATTTCCTTTACTTAAGTAAATTCTCTACTGGTCATTAAAAGTAGAATTGATACTGATGTCACTCTTGGCATATTAGGAGTGAGGTGGGGTTTTCTTTATTGTGCAACCTTTGCTCGTTTTCTGATATCCTCTCCCCTACCCCAGCCCCCAGGCTTTGGATCAGCTTGGTTGTGAATATCATCTTAGTCACTCTCTTTTTGTTAATTAAGCATTCTGAGCTCAGTCTTTCTCATCTTCAAAGTTGATACAAATGAATACTTCATAGGATTGTTTATAGGCTGAAATAATGCAGGTAAAAGTCCTCTGTACAGTATAACTAGTGCCATAACGAGTCTCCATATCCTTTCCTTCCAACCCATCCTCCACGCTGAGACAGACCTCAGTCCTCTGCCTTACACTCATCAGTGCTTCTCCTACCCTGTATGAGAGTCTAACACAAATTCAACATTATTCGCTCACTTTTTCTTTTCTTCCTCTGTATCCCACAACAGGAAGGTATACTCATTGCTATGGCCAGCTTGCCAAATTTCATCTCTTCAGTGTTTTTGCATTTGTCCTACCAGGAGCACTGACTCTCACTTGGAGTCCATCTGGCAAATTCCCGCACATGCTTGACAAAGTGATTTTCCACCTGTGATTCTAGCACACGTGGGGCCCCATCGCTTCTACCTTGAGTTCGGGCTCCTCACGTGGATTCTCCTCCTTGTTAGGCTGTGCTCTCCTTCTACTGGCCGGCCCTTATTTACTGAGAGAGACGACAATGGGTCAAACTCCCGGCCTGGAACAGGCGGATGGCCTGAGGGAACCAGGCCTCTGCTTTGACTATACTTAGCAGTGGTGTTATCAGGAAACACCTCCTACTGTCCTCTTAGCTACTATACTGTCCAACTGTCAAGACCTCGGCTGGTATGACTCCCAGAACGTGTGGGGAAGGATTCTGGAACTGGCCACCGGAGCTCCCCCACACCTGTGCTCCACTTGGTACGAAGCTCCCCTTGGCACCCCGCCCCAAATCCCCGCATCCCGCCACCAGCCAGGCTGACTTTTAAACAATAGATATAGTTAATAATAGATGTAATTTTAGTAAATGTTCTGCCTATTCTAAACTGAAAGTCAAAATGAAATGCAATGACCATTTATTATATTGCCTTGCTCTGTTTAAACTAGTTAATATTTCTTGCTTGTGTGAATGGGCAAGGTCATTGTATTTTATTCGGGTGAAGAAACTCTTTACTGATGACCTGTAGTTCTCCAAGATTGTTATATGTCCTAGAACAAAGCTGATTCATAATTCAGCTAGGTGGGGCAAAGGTATTACATTTTCAGTCTTTCTTGCTGACTCCTGAATTTAACTAAACTATGTGGGAGTCTTTTGAAAATCTTAGAACTGTCAAGCTAATGTATATTCTAAGTTTCTCCTACCCTAACCACTTCATTTTCCAAAACCCCAAAAGAGGAAAAGTACTTATACAAGACAACCCAGCCAAGACTGGAATTCCGTTTTCCAAGTTGTTTTTTTTTTGTTTGTTTGTTTGTTTTTTGGTACCAGGGATCAAACTGAGGCCCTAGCGGAACCACTGAGCAAAATCCCCAGCCCTCAAGTCTATTTTGATATGTAAATTTTTCTATTTCCTTTTTCCTAACTGGCCATTGCCTGAGATCTGTTTTTTCTTCAATCTCCGTGCTTCTTCTAAGTCAAATAAAAAATCAGATTTTCCAATCATTCTTTCTTTGTCCTTAAAGCATTTTACAGGGCTTCCAGATCCTACTTGAAAAATCCCAAATAAGGAGATATAGTCTTGAGGCTTCCCCACAAAAAACTCTGCTGGGGCCTCCAAGAAGACAGCAAACAGTAAGCCACAGTCTTTAGCTGTCTTTCTCTCTCTGTCTTTGTCTCTGTCTCTACCTCACCCCCACCCCATGCTCTCTCT